CACATATACACACTTCCCCCGCCTCCCCATTGATAATTATACATTTTAAGTCTCTGTGGTGCCCTTCTAGCATGCTATATATTGCTGCCCATCTAACCATCAGTTAGACTGTGCGATGTGAATGACATGAAGCAGTTTCATCCCTCTTTGGTGGGTCTACATGCATCTCGTCGTGTGTGTGTTTCTTGTACAGTCATGCAGTCTTAATATCCGTTAATTTCCCCTCAATCGCTTGTGGCAAAGGACAGAAGCACCAGATCATCAGCAAACAGTAGACATTTGACTTCAGATTCTAGTAGGGTGAGGCCGGGTGCTGCAGACTGTTATAGTGCCCTCGCCAATTCGTTGATATATATGTTGAAGAGGGTGGGGCTTAAACTGTATCCCTGTCTCAACCCAACTATGGTGAATCACTAAAAGAATACAGAAACACACTACGGAAAAAGAAGGAACAGCATGTCAGAAATCAGCTCAATGTAATTGAAGAATCCATAGACTAACCACTTCTGGGAAAATTGGAAAACACTAAACAAACAACAACACAAAGAGCTATCTATCCAAAATGGAGATGTATGGGTAAACCACTTCTCCAATCTTTTTGGCCCTATAACAAAGAACAAACAGCAAAAAAATATACATGATCAAATGCAAATCTTAGAATCAACTATTAGACTACCAGAACCCACTGGATTCTCCAATTACTTTGAATGAACTACAGGACAAAATACAAACCCTCCAACCCAAAAAGGCCTGTGGTGTTGATGGTATCCTTAATGAAATTATATACAGACCACAAATTCCAATTGGCTATACTTCAACTCTTTAACATCATCCTTAGCTCTGGCATATTCCCCAATATTTGGAAACAAGGACTGATCACCCCAATCCACAAAAGTGGGGACAAATTTGACCCCAATAACTACCGTGGGATATGCGTCAACAGCAACCTTGGGAAAATCCTCTGCATTATAATTAACAGCAGACTAGTTCATTTCCTCAGTGAAAACAATGTACTGAGCAAATGTCAAATTGGCATTTATGTCAAATTTTTATTACCGTACCACAGACCACGTATTCACCCTGCACACCCTAATTGACAAACAAACAAACCAAAACAAAGGCAAAGTCTTCTCATGCTTTGTTGATTTCAAAAAAGCTTTAGACTCAATTTGGCATGAGGGTCTGCTATACAAATTGATGGAAAGTGGGGTTGGAGGAAAAACATACAACATTATAAAATCCATGTACACAAACAACAAGTGTGCGGTTAAAATTGGCAAAAAAACACACACATTTCTTTCCACAGGGCCGTGGGGTGAGACAGGAATGCAGTTTAAGCCCCACCCTCTTCAACATATATATCAACGAATTGGTGAGGGCACTAGAACAGTCTGCAGCACCCGGCCTCACCCTACTAGAATCTGAAGTTAAATGTCTACTGTTTGCTGATGATCTGGTGCTTCTGTCACCAACCAAGGAAGGCCTACAGCAGCACCTAGATCTTCTGCACAGATTCTGTCAGACCTGGGCCCTGACAGTAAATCTCAGTAAGACAGAAATAATGGTGTTCCAAAAAAGGTCCAGTTGCCAGGACCACAAATACAAATTCCATCTAGACACCGTTGCCCTAGAGCACACAAAAAACGATACATACCTCCGCCTAAACATCAGCGCCACAGGTAACTTCCACAAAGCTGTGAACGATCTGAGAGACAAGGGAAGAAGGGCCTTCTATGCCATCAAAAGGAACATAAAATCTGACATACCAATTAGGATCTGGCTAAAAATACTTGAATCCGCTCACCAACCAACAATTCACAAAATGGGACAAACACCAAATTGAGACTATGCATGCAGAATTCTGCAAAAATATCCTCAGTGTACAATGAAAAACACAAAATAATGCATGCAGAGCAGAATTAGGCCGATACCCGCTAATTATCAAAATCCAGAAAAGAGCCGCTAAATTCTATAACCACTTAAAAGGAAGCGAATCCCAAACCTTCCATAACAAAGCCATCACCTACAGAGAGATGAACTTGGAGAAGAGTCCCCTAAGTAAGCTGGTCCTGGGGCTCTATTCACAAACACAAACAGACCCCACAGAGCCCCAGGACAACAACACAATTAGACCCAACCAAATCATGAGAAAACAAAAAGAGAATTACTTGACACATTGGAAAGAATTAACAAAAAAACAGAGCAAACTAGAATGCTATTTGGCTCTAAACAGAGAGTACACTGTGGCAGAATACCTGACCACTGTGACTGACCCAAACTTAAGGAAAGCTTTGACTAAGTACAGACTCAGTGAGCATAGCCTTGCTATTGAGAAAGGCCGCCGTAGGCAGACCTGGCTCTCAAGAGAAGACAGGCTATGTGCACACTGCCCACAAAATGAGGTGGAAACTGAGCTGCACTTCCTAACCTCCTGCCAAATGTATGACCATATTAGAGACACATATTTTCCTCAGATTACAGAGATCCACAAAGAATTAAAAAACTAACCCAATTTTGATAAACTCCCTTATCTACTGGGTGAAAAAACACAGTGTGCCATCACAGCAGCAAGATTTGTGACCTGTTGCCACAAGAAAAGGGTAACCAGTGAAGAACAAACACCATTGTAAATAAAACCCATATTTATGTTTATTTATTTTCCCATTTGTACTTTAACTATTTGCACATTGTTACAACACTGTATATATAAATATGACATTTGAAATGTCTTTATTCTTTTGGAACTTCTGAGTGTAATGTTTACTGTTAATATTTATTGTTTATTTGACTTTTGTTTACTATCTACTTCACTTGCTTTGGCAATGATAACATACGTTTCCCATGCCAATAAAGCCCTTAAATTGAATTGAATTGAGAGAGAGAGGGAGTGATAGAGGGAGGGAGAGCAGAATGAATCAAGACTGGTGTTGGCCTACTTTAAATAAAAGTAATAACTCCTCCACTGAGAGATTTTCTTGTGTGGTTAAAAAAAACATTGCTCGGGAAAAGAGGGTCTTCGATCCTTCCACTCAACACAGGCCAGCTGGAATGGAGAAGCTTTAATTTGCTCTGCAATCAGACTTTAGTGTGTGTGTGTGTGTGTGTCTGTGTGTGTGTGTGTGTGTGTGTGATCAATAAGCCTTTATGAGACAGTGAGTCGAGACCTGGTCGATTTAGAGTTGTAATCATATTTCAGAACCAGTCTGGCCCAAAGGCTTCTGGGAAGGCACTGCCTCTTTGGTAGAAGTAGGCTCTAAGTACCACTGGTTTTGAATCCTCAGAATAATCAAGTAATGATTAGAAGTCAGATTTATCCAGGTTTATCCTGATCCTAGATCTGTTTCTAAGGGTAACTTCTACCCAGAACTAGTCTTGTCCCGGGGGGTGACTCCACATTGGCATAAGCGGTCAAAGACTAGGTATTGAAGGCTAAGAGTCCATTGGCTAGTGGTTACAGTGTATTGGCTAGAGTGTAAACGTGTTGGTCATTGGTTATGGGCCACATAGTAGTTAAAGGCTTAGGGGCCTAGTACATAGTAGTTAAAGGCTTAGGGAGACTCTTATCTCCCTCACTAACTTTAAGCATCAGTTGTCAGAGCACCTTACCGATCACTGCACCTGTACACAGCCCATCTGAAATTAGCCCACAACTACCTCATCCCCATATTGTTATTTATTTTGCTCATTTGCACCCCAGTATCTCTATTTGCACATCATCTCTTGCACATCTATCATTCCAGTGTTAATACTAATTGTAATTATTTTGCACTATGGCCTATTTATTGCCTTAACTCCATAACTTACTACATTTGCACACACTGTATATATATTTTCTGTTGTATTTTTGACTTTATGTTTGTTTTACCCCATATGTAACTCTGTGTTGTTGTTTTTATCACACTGTTTTGCTTTATCTTGGCCAGGTCGCAGTTGTAAATGAGAACTTGTTCTCAACTGGCTTACCTGTTAAAGGCTTAGGGGCTAGTACATAGTAGTTAAAGGCTTAGGGGCTAGTACATAGTAGTTAAAGGCTTAGGGGCTAGTACATAGTAGTTAAAGGCTTAGGGGCTAGTACATAGTAGTTAAAGGCTTAGGGGCTAGTACATAGTAGTTAAAGGCTTAGGGGCTAGTACATAGTAGTTAAAGGCTTAGGGGCTAGTACATAGTAGTTAAAGGCTTAGGGGCTAGTACATAGTAGTTAAAGGCTTAGGGGCTAGTACATAGTAGTTAAAGGCTTAGGGCCTAGTACATAGTAGTTAAAGGCTTAGGGGCTAGTCAGGGTTGAGTAGGGTTTAGTGACTAGTAATGGACTTAGGGCAGAGAATAAAATGTATCACTAGTGACAAAGTCACTGAGCCTCACCATTTACAGAAGATGCTCAATAAAAGGGAGCATGTACAGATCAAATCATTTAGTACAGGTTAGAAGGCAAGAGTTCCACAGGACAGACATTTAGTGTGAGTTCACAGATACTTGTGGGATAGGAACTGAATATCACCTCCTTTTGATGCAGGTATTTTTAGGTTGCTTTTTGTGAAATAAACTCTGCTAACAAAGCAACAAAGGGACACTCAAAGGCTTTTACCTCAGCATTTCCTCTGTTTCCTGCCAATTATTTCCTGCCCTAGTTCCTTGTGAAGATGATTAGCTTTTTTCTCAACAATTCTGAAGTCTAATAGACAAACCCCTTGAACTGAGCTACTCTGTCTCGAGGAAATGTGCGATGCACAAATAATTAGTGATGTGGTTGATTCCCATTTTTCTTTCCTTTTTCAAATAGTTCAATAGGTGAGAAAAGGGTGACGAGACAAATGATGTATTCACATTTTAAAACACCATCCATACAGTAGTTGTCAAACGAATTATGTGATTTATTTTGCGTGCCTTAGTATTGTCAATACGGTTTTGTGATTCACAAATAGGACTGACTTGTAATTTCTGTGGTGTTGTGGTAGATTGTGCAGGTTGTAATATTATTTGACTGTCTGTGTCCCACAGTTAAGATCCCGACCCGGAGGACCTACATAGACCCAGCGACTTGTGAGGACCTGGTGCAGGCTGTCCTCGCCTTTGCCAAAGAACTAGACAACTCCAGCATCAAGATAGAGAGAATCGTGCACACAGGTACTGAGACAGTATTCTTTTTCTTTGCCAATTTTCACTCCTCCCTGTTTGACCTGTCTTTTGTCTCCTTTTCTCGCTCTCTCTCTCTCTCCTCCTCTCTCTCTTTTTCTCTCTCTCCCCCCCATCGCTCTACATGAGGACACGACTCTGTACTTGCCTACTCCATGACCGCTTCCATCTCTCATACCCGCTCTCCTCCCCCACTCGCCCCCACTCTCTCTCGCTCCCCGCTCTCTCCTCTCACCCCTCTCTCGCTTCCCCCCAGCCTCTCCCTCCCGCTCTCTTTCTCCCCCGCTCTCTCCTTCCTCTCCCACCCCGCATCTCTCTCTCTTCCCCCGCTCTCCTCTCTCCTCTCTCTCTCCTCTCTCCCCGCTCTCTCTCTCTCCCTCTCTCTCCTCCTCCTCTCTCCTCTCTCTCTCTCCTCGCTCCTCGCTCCCCCCTCGACTCTCTCTTCCCTTCGCCTCTCTCTCCTCCACTCTGCCCTCTCTCCCCGCTCTCTCTGCTCCCCCCGCTCTCTCGCTCTCCCACCTACGTCGTCGCTCTCTCCCCGCCTCTCCTCTCCCCGCTCATCTCTCTCCCCGCTCTCCTCTCCCCCCCCGCTCCCTCATCCCTTCTCACTCTATTTCGCTCTCCCCTCTCTCTCTATCTCTCTCTCTCTCTCCCCCGCTCTCTTTCTCTCTCTCCAGCTCTCTTTCTCTCTCTCCAGCTCTCTCTCTCTCTCTCCAGCTCTCTCTCTCTCCCCCTCTCTCTCTGATAAACCAGTACTGTAGTCCGCTCTCTAACCTTCTCTATGTGTCTCCACCTGCAGGTGACTTTGGGGAGGTGTGTCGTGGCTGTCTCAAGCTGCCCAGTAAGCGGGAGCTTCCGGTGGCCATCAAGGCGCTGAGGGCCGGCTGCTCAGAGAAACAGAGGTGCTCCTTCCTCAGCGAGGCCGGGATTCTCGGACAGTTTGACCACTCCAACATCGTCCGTCTGGAGGGGGTCATCACCAGCGGTGAGCTAGTTACCTAAATCACAAATGAACCCCTAGCCCCTATGCACTTACACTTAGCTCCTATTTACTATGCTTTATAGGGGGCGACTGTCTGAAAAACTAATAAGATTTCCTCCACCACTGAACAGAACGCACAAACCCCATACGATTACTACGTGACACAGACAGCAGTTGAGGTCCTGCAGGGAAAGGATAAATGGAAAAGGAGAGAATGGAGAAAGGTAGGTGAGGAGAGGTTTAGAGCGTTTCAGAGGGGTACTGTAGAGGGCAGGGTGCGTGTGAGTCAGGTGAGGTAGAACCAGGGTAGGGAGGAATGGGATTGGATGGGAGCGGTGCCTGCCTGCCTGTAACACACACTGTCTGCAGCAGATGTGCTGGATACGGTAATTGGTGCTAGAGACACAGCGGGACTCTGAAACCCACTTTCGCACACACCCCACCGCCTCGCACATGCGCGTGCTCACACACACGGGCGCGCATACACAGTCATTCAAACTCACACACAGACCGCCCTCAGATTGCAAATCACCTGCATTGCATTGCTTACCCCCCACTAGCCCGCCATTCAACCCCTTCCACCCCCACAGCCCACCTGTCAGCCCCCACCACCTCTCCCTCTCCCTCCTCCTTTCTCCCTCCATCCCTCCATCCGAGGTCTGCAGCGCTGCAGGGAGGGTCATTAGAGAGACCGAGACGTGCTGCTAGCTAAATGTGGGACATGGTAGTGGAGTGTTGTAGTGATAGGTTAGTTAGATAGTGAGTGTGAAGCAGTAGTTCTGTATGTTAGTCTTGCATAATAACATAGACGTCTGATGTGATAGAACGAGTGACGGTGTAATGTAATAGTGTAATAGTGTAGCCCTTGTTAACTTAAAATGACACAACGACTAGGTTCCAGTTTAACAACGTTTACTTCACCGTATTACCACAGTACATAGTCACCATCACACTCAGGCCAGGTCCATCTCCAGTTTGCCTACTGTGCAGGCTTACTAATAACAGAGTGGTAGCACCGTAATAACAGAAATATAGGGCTACTTAAAACATAAACTTAACAAACTCCCACTTTTCTTTATAGACAAATAAAACATCAACAAAATAATTAAATGTTCCAAGTATTATTTAAGTTCCCCATTACAAATGGTTTTTATTACTCAAGCTGCCACTTTCCATTACTGAGAGCCTTTAGGAGCACAAGACCGGATGCTCCCTTTTTACTCAGACAGTCAGCAAGCTGTTTGTTCCTTTGTGGCCGACCAGGAAAACAGCTTTGAGGTGTGGAATCACAGTTGTAGCAAAGGTCTATGAGCCACTCCAGATGAAGTCATCAACATGACAGGCAAGTACTCCAGTCACATTGCAATCTTGATCAAGCCAATAGAAGACTGCAGGATCCACTTGTGACATTTTTCCACCTGTACTCAGCATTGTTGCCTTGACTTTATGTACCAGTAGAGTGATGCATCTGCCAGGCCATACACACACTTTTTTAGTTTCCACAGTGTTCCTTCGCTCTTAGCTTCAGGCGGAGGTCGGATGTGAATGTCCCTTGACAGCTCTGTTCCCTGCAAAAATGCAGATTCGATGTCTATGGAATGAAGTTTCCATTTTTTCTGGCAGATCACTGTCAGCAGCAATCTGAGTGACTCAGTGAGTCTTTTGGGAGTTCTTTAGCAGCCAGCTCCTCAAAACCTCCAACAACTAGACATGCTTTTGGCACTATTCCAGTTAAGGATTCTTTAAGGGTACACACCCACCTTTGGCTTTTCCTGCGCGTCCAATTACTGTTGCTGTGTGTGGAATACCACTTTCTCTGTCCATGTATTTAACAGTTTTCCAGTTTTCAGATTGGAACAACCATGTTGTCTTAACACATGTCGCTGTTGTTGATCGTTTCCTAATTTGAACCCTCAACAGTATTACCTGTGTCATGGTTGAAGGTCTCTGCTCCATTTCCTGTGTCAGTTTGTGTCCATATCATTGGATGCGACATCTGGTAGGTTTGTGTCTGTTAATATGTCCTTTTTGTCATTTTCAGTAGGAGGCTGATTCTCAGCAACAGCCCCTCCAGCTTGTTGATCATTTACTTTCCGCAATCTTGAGTGATGCACCCTGACAATGGTGCCTTCGTGCCTCACAAATATCACCACACCATCTTGGCCAATGACTACTCCCGGTCCTTTCCACTCTTGACAGTCAACTCGTTTGTAGTACACTTTGTTTCCAGTCTCGTACTTCTCATCTGTGGGTCGAAGCTGTTTACGCAGAGCCCTGCGAGTTCTCTCTGAACACACTGCTTCAGTGAACGCTTTTCTCGCTGCATGTAGTGCTGAAAAGTGCTGTCCCACCCATGCACTCACACTGGTCCCTTCTAGTGCTGGTGGCTTGTCAACCAGTACAGAGGGAAGATTAGGGTTCTGCCCGAACTCTAGTTTGTGTGGGCTGTAGCCATGAACATTGTGCATTGAGTTTTTTGCCATCAAAGCCCAATCTAGGGCTGTTTTCCCGTCACATCCATTGTCTTGCTTCACTTTCAGCATGATCTCTGTGAGTGTTTGATTATGTCTCTCCAGAAGTCCATTGCTCCATGGACTGTATGCAGCAGTTGGCTTTACTTCCATGTTGAATTTCTCCGCCATTTCTCTTATTTCATTATTATTGAATTCTCCTCCATTGTCACTTTACAATTTCTGTGGTGGGCCATGCACACTTATCCAGGAATTGTATTCACAATGCTTCCAGCGCTGAAACGTGTTAAGTGGTCGATTATGTGATGGTACCACACACTTGGTCCTAGCTCATGTAGATCATTGTACATATGTTCTCTGTGACTGTCAGAATCTCCATGTGCTCTGTGTCCATCAGAATCTCATTTTTACATGGACTCAGTGTGATGTCTTTGTCTAAAATGTTTATACAATAGTGGCCTGAGGTAGTAAATTCAATGGTAACTGGTTGTTTAAACATCACTGCCTTGTCATTTGTTATGTCTAGTACAGCCCCTGCCTTCTTGAGGGAAGCTTTGCTTAATAGAAAGGGGATATCTGCAGGGACCACTTCTGTTTTAATGTGACAGTTAGTCTGACCAATCTTTGCTGGTATCTTGACTCTCTTGGTAGAATGGACGACTCTCCCATTTCCAAATTTGAAAACTCTGTTGCTTGGTGTGTCAATCATATTTCATATTTAGTTCACTGACATGGCTATCAAGCCACTTTGCACCACACACTGTGTGTGTTCATGCAGTATCAATCACAGCAGATCCTAAGGATTCAACTATGAAGATCTCAGAAGCAGATTCTTTTGAAAACAGTGTAATGTTACACTACTCCATCTCTGTGTTTACATTTTCCTCTGTTAGTTTAACTTGTTAATTTTTATTAGGACAGTCTTTAACCCAATGGTAAGTGCTTTGACAAATAGCACATTTTGATCTCCTTCCATACCTGTCCAGTGGATTTGTGCCGGGCAATGGCGCCCTCGTCTGGTTGTCTTGAGAACGTGACTGGTTGGCGCCTTTTCTCTACTCAGTGTAATATGTCACGTCACTCACTTGCATTCCATCTGTTATTGGCGTGACAGACGTCTTTTCACCCACAATCCTTTTTATTGCCGACTTCATTTGACGCAAAAGTCAGCACAGTACAATCAGTCAAAGCCAACTGTATCTCCCTACCATCCAGACAGGCAGTATCTGCTAACACTGCATCCGCGAGAACCATGTCATACTTGTGCATCCTATTGTACCTCTGTTCTAAATCAATTATGTAGTCCGTCATTGCAACCGTAATGTCTCTAGTAACACTGTCAATGTTTGAATACGCCTCGTAGGCACAGTATTTCTCTTCTTTAAGAAACACAGAATCCAGTGCTCTGATCAAAGTTCTCATACCGTCATCCTTGTTCAAATCCTCCACGGATATTTCCAGTGCTGTATCTCTCGCTCTTCCCTCAAGCGATAATACCACCGCAAGTGCTTGCTTTTTCTCGTCCAGATTTGTAACGATTCCAAGTTCATTTTTCATACGACCTCTTCTCGTCAAAGCGAGGTGGCACATTGTAGTTATTAGCCATCCTCTGCTACCAATGTTAACTTAAAATGACACAACGACTAGGTTCCAGTTTAACAACGTTTACTTCACCGTATTACCACAGTACATAGTCACCATCACACTCAGGCCAGGTCCATCTCCAGTTTGCCTACTGTGCAGGCTTACTAATAACAGAGTGGTAGCACCATAATAACAGAAATATAGGGCTACTTAAAACATACATTTAACAGTCCTGTCTGCCTCTCCTCTCTTCCAGTCTGTCTGTCTGACTGCAATAGAGGGGGCCTGAGGGGGACTGATAGTGTCCATTTATGAGGCACTTAGATCCCAGCCACAAAAATCAAGAGGTGTGTGTGTGTGTGTGTGTGTGAGAGAGAGAGAGAGCTCAGTTTCCATGTTACTATGCTCCATCTCTGTCTGACGCGCACACAAACACCATCTGGTCACTAGGGGAGTCACAGCTTCCTGCCTTTCTCCTGACTACTCTCTCTCCCTCACCATCTCTCCCTCCTTCTCCCACCACTCTCAATAAAAGCTCACCTCTTCTTTCTGTCTTTTCTTTCCCTTCTCCCATTCACTCGTTCCTACCCCAGTGTCTACTCCCACTGTCCCCCTCTCTCCTGTTTCTGTCTTCTCTCCCTTTACTATGTTGATACACCCTGGCCACCTGCGCTCAGCGAGGGTGAGGAGTGTGTGTGTGTGTGTGTGTGTGTGTAGGGTTATTGGTGTGACTGTGAGGTCATCCTGCTCACACTGGCTGAAGGATGACCGTGCATAACCACTGCTGCCCCTGAGCCAACTGGACTATACTGATAACCCTGTGTGTGTGTGCAGGTAACACCATGATGATTGTGTTGGAGAGCATGTCCAACGGGGCCCTGGACTCCTTCCTCAGGGTAAGTGTGTGTGCATACTTTGTGTGTGCATGTGTCTTTTTGTGCTCTTGTAACACAGTGTTTACCTCACCATGACTCCTGGTCTAGTTTCCAAACTTTACGTAAGATGTTGGTATGAAATAAATCCCTAGGCATATAGTGTATCATTGGGCTTATATGCCACATAACGAACAGTACAGACAAAACATTTCTCACATTGTTATTTAATCCTTCATAACTGAGATTTGTTCTCTGTTGCACTGAAATGTATTTTGACACACCAGGGGTCCAAAGTTACGTACACTACCGTTCAAAAGTTTGGGGTAACTTAGAAATGTCCTTGTTTTCCATGAAAACATACATGAAATGAGTTTGAATAGGAAATATAGCAACATGCATAGGAAATGTAGTAATTGACAAGGTTAGAAATAATGATTTTTAATATAAATAATAATTGTGTCCTTCAAACTTTGCTTTCGTCAAAGAATCCTCCATTTGCAGCAATTACAGCCTTGCAGACCTTTGGCATTCTAGTTGTCCATTTGTTGAGGTAATCTGAAGAGATTTCACCCCATGCTTTCTGAAGCACCTCACACAAGTTGGATTGGCTTGATGGGCACTTCTTACATACCATACGGTCAAGCTGCTCCTACAACACCTCAATAGGATTGAGATCCGGTGACTGTGTTGGCCACTCCATTATAGACAGAATACCAGCTGACTGCTTCTTCCCTAAATAGTTCTTGCATAGTTTGGAGCTGTGCTTTGGGTCATTGTCCTGTTGTAGGAGGAAATTGGCTCCAATCAAGCGCCATCCACAGGGTATGGCATGGCGTTGCAAAATGGAGTGATAGCCTTCCTTCTACAAGATCCCTTTTACCCTGTACAAATCTCCCACTTTACCACCACCAAAGCACCCCCAGACCATCACATTGCCTCCACAATGCTTGACAGATGACATCAAGCACTCCTCCAGCATATTTTCATTTGGTCTGCATCTCACAAATGTTCTTCATTGTGATCCGAACACCTCAAACTTCTATTTGTCTGTCCATAACACTTTTTTCCAATCTTCCTCTGTCCAGTGTCTGTGTTCTTTTGCCCATCTTAATATTTTCTTTTTATTGGCCAGTCTGAAATATGGCTTTTTCTTTGCAACTCTGCCTAGAAGGTCAGCATCCCGGAGTCGCCTCTTCACTGTTGACGTTGAGACTGGTCTTTTGCGGGTACTATTTAATGAAGCTGCCAATTGAGGACCTGTGAGACGTATGTTTCTCAAACTAGACACTCTAATGTATTTGCCCTCTTGCTCAGTTGTGCACCGGGGCTTCCCACTCCTCTTTCTATTCTGGTTAGAGGCAGTTTGCGCTGTTCTGTGAAAGGAGTAGTACACAGCGTTGTACGAGATCTTCAGTTTCTTGGCAATTTCTCGCATGGAATAGCCTTCATTTCTAAGAACAAGAATAGACTGACGAGTTTCAGAAGAAAGTTATTTGTTTCTGGCCATTTTGAGCCTGTAATCGAACCCACAATTGCTGATGCTCCAGATACTCAACTAGTCTCAAGAAGGCCAGTTTTATTGCTTCTTTAATCAGCACAACAGTTTTCAGCAGTGCTAACATAATTGCAAAAGGGTTTTCTAATGATCAATTAGCCTTTTAAAATGATAAACTTGGATTAGCAAACACAACGTGCCATTGGAACACAGGACTGATGGTTGCTGATAATGGGCCTCTGTACGCCTATGTAGATATTCCATTAAAAGATCTGCCGTTTCCAGCTACAATAGCCATTTACAACATTAACCACGTCTACACTGTATTTATGATCTATTTTATTTTATTTTAATGGACAAAAAAAAAAGAAATCTTTCGAAAACATGGACATTTCTAAGTGACCCCAAACTTTTGAACGGTAGTGTATATTCCATTTCATACGTGTTTCTATATCATTGGTCCCAACCCACCATTTGAGAAACACTGTCCTAACCACACAATTAAATATATCAGTGTTATATTTAGGGTTGCCAAATACTTTCCCAAAATTCCCAGGTTTTCCAGAAATTCCCGGAAACAGGAGGAAAAAAGCAGGACATCCGGAAACCTCCGACCAGGATTTCTGGAAAACATTGGACCCTAATTATATATATCTATGGTCCTAACCCACTCTCTCCCCCTCCCTCCCTCCCTCCCTCCCTCCCAGAAGCACGAGGGCCAGCTCTCTGTGCTCCAATTGATAAACATGCTGGGGGGGGTGGCCTCTGGGATGAAGTACCTGACAGAGATGGGCTTCGTCCACCGCCGCCTTGCCGCCCACAAGGTACTGGTCAACGCCAGCCTGGGCTGCAAGGTGTCCGGCTTCAGACCCCTCCAAGAGGACAAGATAGAGGCCATCTACAGCGCAATGGTGAGACTACTGACTGATATTATATTATTAGTCAAAAGTATATTACTAGTTATACAATAAAAATAAAAATAGTATAGTCTTTACTCTTTACCCATAGAGGCCATCTACACCACACTGGTGAGGGACTGACTGATACGAACTGTTGTTTAAACCGTATTGTTAACTAGCTTATTCAGTCTTTACCCATAGTTATGTAGGCCATCTTCACCACTGGTGAGACTACTCACTGTGATAGGTACTAGGTTATTCACTACCTTGTTTAGTCTTTACCCATATAGACCACACTGCTGAGAGAACTGGCTGATATTTTCTCAGATTAAATATATTACGCCTAATAAATATACAAATCCTATTTTATAGAAAATGCTATAAAAATCATACATTAAAAATCATATTTTATAGAAAATGCTAAAAAAAAAATCATACATTAAAATGACAATTAAGTCTTTATAGAAGCGCATTGAAGCCGGTGGGAGAGGTTCGCGTTTAATCGCGTATGTTCTTTGTATTTCGTCTTTGTGTTGAATCTGATGTGTGCAGTGCTGACTGATTTAAAATAGTTTCTATAATGAATCAGGGTTTCCCTGTGGTTTCTCTTTCTCACTCTCTCTCTGTTTTCACTCTCTCTTTGTTGAGTGGTTGATTAGATTAGATTTTCTGTTTTAATGTTCTTTTGAGGCAGTATATGGGATGCAGAGTGTAGTAGGATGTTTAACTGTAGACCCTAGTGCAGTGACGAGGCAGGCTACATGAAACGTGTTCATACAAGATGTCCAATGTCAAGTGTGGAGTTGAACATCTCTCTCTCTCTGTCTCGCTCAGCATGGGGGGAAGAGTGTAGTGTTGTGGACAGCCCCAGAGGCCATCCAGTACCACCGCTACAGCTCAGCGTCCGACGTGTGGAGCTTTGGCATCGTCATGTGGGAGGTCATGTCCTACGGAGAGAGGCCCTACTGGGACATGGGCAACCAGGACGTGAGTAGAGTGACTGGCTCTCTCTCTATACTCTACCTTCTCCTCTCCTCCCCTCTATTCTTTATCTAGCTCATCTCTCTGAAGCTCCTCTGTCTCTCTCTCTCTCACTCATTCCCTTCGCTCTTTATCTCCATTGCATCCCCTCTCTCTTCCTTCACTCTCCGTCTCCGTCTGTCTCACGCTCTCCGCATGTGCATCTCTGTCCCCTCCCTCACCCCCTTCCCTGTGCTTTTTCCTTCTCTACCTATTCATCTCTCTCTTCTCCTTTCTATTTAAACGTTCTCTTCTTCCCTTTTGCTCTCTCTCCCTCTCTCTTCTGTTCCCTCTAAAACTGTGTGAACTCTTTGACTTGGGATAGCTCAGATCTTATTAAAGAGGGAAAGCCACAGGTGCTTCTCTAAAATACTATTTTGGCTCTAAATCTCTGGCATAAGTCCACTTCAGCTCCGTGACCAATCCTGTTTCTCATAAGGACACCACGTCCCTTTCTAGTGGCCGTCCCAAAGTGCCACCACGCGCCCCACTCTTAGAGGAAGGCTAAAATCCCGGCAGAAAGCGACGCTCTCTTTTTTAAGGAAATGAAAGTGTAGCTATTTTAGGAGGGTGAGGAGATTGTCCAACCGATAGGACCCCGCCACCACCGGTTTGTGAGAGAAGCGTAGTATTTTCACGTCGATGAGCGTGGGGTTTTTGTTCCTTTCTTCCTCCCTCCTTCTTTTCCGAGAGAGAGTTTTGTTTTGACTTTTGAAGAAAACTAAACTTCAGACGAGCACAGCGGAAAGTGTTGCGTAAGACTTTGTTGAAGAGCAAAGTGAGACAATGTGATTTCAAAGTGCCTTTGATCCAAGGCAGCATCATGAAGGGGATTTACAAGTATTAGAGTAGATAGAGGGTTCATCAGAGTTCACAAAGTTCACAAAGTTAACTTTTAAGCCAACATATTGTTCATGCTAATATGCTGTCTAAAATGACTCCTTACGAAAACGCTCCACATAAACTGAACAATAAAACAACAAAATAGACGACCATGTAATGTTGAAATGAATGACTATGAACCCTCCCTCAGATAGGACTTGAACCGTGATGGTTTATTACTATCCAGACATTGTATCTACCTCTATGTTCACAGCACTAAACTCTCCAGATGAAATGTCAAAGGCCAAGCTGGCTGAGTGCTTGACATATTAATGCATTAAACGGATACATAATATCACCATTAACTCACCAAGCCCACATGCTGCTCTAACATGCCCTTTGCTTTTTAGCTCTGATTAAATGGAAAATGTTAGCCAATGTAGAAACACTTTCTGAACACTGTTTGGTTAAATTGAGGTCAGGATAGAACTGAAGAGGACAGTGTTTTTGGTGAATGTGGTTCAAGGGAACATTTTCAACATTTTTATTGGCGGGTGAGCTTTTTCTAGGGAGCACAGTGTTAGAAAACTGGGAGAGAATATATTTTTGAAGTGTTGTGTTTAGGAGCATTCTTTATGGGAGACCAATCTGTTTGATGGGTTAGCTCTTTGAGAGAACCTTGTGTAAAGGGATATTGTTTGAGTGTGATTGTGGTGTAGGAGATCTCCTGAAGCCACTTTGGACTAAGACGGAGTCATCGTTCACTATCAACATTTCTCCCTGGAAGTTAACACTCCTTCCTCTCTCTCCTCTCGTCCTAGGTGATCAAAGCAATAGAGGATGGCTTCCGCCTGCCCGCCCCTATGAACTGTCCACCCCACCTCCACCAGCTGATGTTGGACTGTTGGCAGAAGGAGAGGACAGAGAGACCCACCTTCAGCCAGATCCACTCTGCTCTCAGCAAGAACATCCGCAGCCCTGACGGCATCGGCTCCTCCACACTGGCACGCAGGTAGGACATAGGCCACTGCAAACCATGGTTAACATGGGCTAAACATGGGTTAACATACAGGCTAACAGGTAACATATTCTGCTAGCCAACATGGGTTGACATGGGTATGGTTTGTTTATGTTGTCGAAGCAGGTTCCCCACGTCCCACTGAGTTTTGATATCAGAGTAGAAATACTACCGCTAATGATAATTATAGACTCATGCATCCCTCCCTGAAATCTCTCTCTCTCTCTCTCTCTCTCCCTGATCTCTCTCCCCTTCTCTTTGTAGAACCCTCCCTCAGCTAGGAAGCCTCCCTCTAGGCTCCTCCATCTCCTTGGCAGAGCGGACTCTTCCCTCGTTCCCCTCCTTTAACTCGGTAGGGGAGTGGTTGGATGCGGTGGACATGGGGCGCTACAAGGACAACTTCACCGTTGCAGGATACTGCTACCTGGAGTCTGTGGCCCGTATGACAGTCCAGTGAGTGGCTCTAAATGAGCGTGTGTGAGTGCGAGCGAGCGTTGATGCATAAACAAGTGTGTGTTTGCCATAAGCCTTGCTTTTTGTGCTTGTGCATCTGAATATCATGAGTTGGTATAGTCTAACGGATGTCTTTGTGCTGTGGTCTTCTCCACAGAGATGTGTTGAGTCTAGGCATCACCTCTCTGGAGCACCAGAAACAGATCCTGTCTGCCTTACAGACCCTTAGAGCCCAGGTCATCCAGATGCACGGCAGAGGGGTGCAGGTCTAACACACACACACACATAGATACATACACGTGCAGACGGATGGACAGACGGATGGATGGATAGAAGGATTTTCAGAGAGGAGAGACTCATCTCTCATCCGGATGGATGAAATGAAGTGGGATAGTGAGATGGGCAGAGATATCGCCCACACTGCACCCACCCACTCTTCCTCCTTGTCTCCCCCCTCCTCCCTCTCTTAAGTCCTTGGGAAGGAGGCGTCTTCCAGTCATGTGATCAACGTACTCTGTCGGAAGTCACACTACTTCTGTCTGCACACTGACCCGAATCGACTAGATCTCCTCTCTGACAACGGGCCCTGGATCAGTGGTTAAAGAGACTTAAAACTACCCTGATAGAGAAGTACTGTCCATCTAAAATGTCTGGCACTGTACCACTGGTCTCAGAACATGGGGTAATAACATTTCCTTGATGGAGAACAACTGTCCCCTCAAGTGATACTCTACACTACTGAACAACTGGTCCCAGAACTGAGGTTAAAACCACCCTGGTTGAGAAGTAATGTTCATCTAACAGGGCTGGCCCTCTACCACTGATCTCAGAACAGTAGGATAAGGTACTAATGGAGAAAGTTCTGTCTGTCGAACATGGCTGACATTGTAAAACTGGTCTCGGTTCAGTGGTTAAAACCCTCCTATCCCGGCCGCTGAAGTGCGATCAAGTGACTGGTTCCCACAGTGTGGGCGGAGCCCAGGCCGTGTCATGTCGTAGCCCGACCAATCAGGAAAAAAATACTGATTAAAAACAACTAGGAGTTTGTGTAAATCGAAACAAAGGATTTACGTGTGTTTGATTGTTCATTTCTATTTCGTCTGTTACACAATTGATATTTCTTCTAAAAAATTTATGTTAACTGTCTCTGCTCTCCCTGTGTTTTCTCAGTGTGTGGAATGGCTAAAGTCCCTTAGCCGGGATGTCAGTGGTATCATGTAGCGTCTCGCTAATATATTTTTCCTGTCTAAAAAGCATTGTCACTACAAGGGTATATTGCACTGTTAAGAATAAAGATCAAGTCTCAAGCTGACATAGAGTATATATAATATTTATTCATTTTTATTTATGCATTTACAGTTTACAGACTCTCACACAACCTCCTGACGGGAAGCGGTTACAAGGGTCAAATAGACATACTTGATTTAATAAATTAATTAATAATACAATACATTTTGTGTTTAAGGATGCTGCAAAGCACATGTCCTCTTGTTTCAGTGTAAATCATGAAATATATATATTTTTTTTTTTACAGTTTGAGGGATTCTGTTACTGAATACAGGTGTTCTGTACTGAACAAGGTATTATGAAGAGGACTTACACTATAGTATGTTGACTATTTTTTCTTCTCATAGACAAGGGTATTGAATCATTTTGATACTGTCAACAAATCTACAGTAGTTGATAAAGGACTTATACATTTTGAGTCCAGTATCGCTGGAGGTATGGTATCAATGTGTTGCATTATAGATGCAGTATTTCAGAATGTCATAGTGATGTTTTATTTTTTACTTTTTTTGGGGGGGGGGGCGCAGCAGCAATTCAAGCTGACATAGGGCCCTGTGTTTTGGTTAATCATGTCATATGATGTGGATTATAACCTTTATTTAAAGCTTTTTCATCAAACTGTCCCCCTTTCTTTTTATGTTAGGAGGTCCAGCACCATCCTCAGACAATTGCTTTCATTTTTGGTCTAATTCTCATTTCTGGAAAATGCTTAAAATAAAATGTGACATGATTTAACCCAAACATAGGGGCCATAGCTATACAACATGGTTGCACACATACCATATTCTCAATTTTCCTACAAATCCCACAACCCGCCACTGTGCAGTCACAAGCCCCTCCCATTTGTCAGTATTATGTATTTTACAAAACCGGTAACATTTAATCGTAGGTAACATGTTTTGGGGCATTATTTGATTTCTATCATACTCATGTTGCTAGCTACACAGTAGATGTTTTATTGGTTCAGTTTGGTTCATAGATGGATTATTGTAATAGTGAGGTATCTGGTATGAAAGGACTACCAGTATATGTTCTCCTCTCTTCCCTACATACTCTCCCTCTCCAGTCTCCCCTCTCTCTCTGTAGCTGTTTTGCCTTAACAAATATAAACCCAAAAGATACTCCTAGGCTGCGTTTACACAGGCACAATTCTGATATTTTGCCCAATTATTGTAGAAAGAGCTAATCTGATTGGTCAAAAGGCCAAGAAGAGGAAAAAGATCAGAATTTAAAGATTTAGAAGTTAAACACAGCCCTATAGACTCACACACATGCACATATTTAGAAAGTCTCACCACCCCTGTATACGCAGACACCAAAATGGATCTTTCACTATAGCGATTTAACTCAGTCGTTGCCCCCCCCCCCCCCCCCCCCCTCTGTTTACTACTCGACCATTACAAAATGTTTAATACTGTAAATATGTATTTGAAAATGCAATATATTTTTATAATTTCTTTGAAGAACAATGTGTTGAAAATATCTGCTCACTGTGTAGGGGTTTTATTGTTTAAATGTAGGGCCATTGCCAATTAACTTGTGTGTTTGGAATATTTGTTTGGAATATTAAAACACATTTTCTTTGTTTAGTTTTTTGATGATTTTTACCTGTTAGGAAAACAGATGGCTGTTGCAATATTGAAATGTGTTATAAAAAAATCTCCCTTAAGCATTTGTCTGTGTTTTTGGGGTGCTTCAGGCTTTGAACTTGATCATCTGTTCTTGCTTACAATGCAAGTCTGATTCATTCCCCTTGTGAAACGATGCAACCAATCAGCTCACAGAAAACTAAACTCTTTCAGTTCACCTTATGTTTTGTTCTTCTCAGCAAACTTTCTGTTCACAACCTCAGACAAGAACTCTCCAGATTGAATCTAGGCCTCAATTGAGAAAGAGCCCTGGAATTGTGCTCAGGAGTGAATCCTATCCTCAATCTTGTTCTGAGTGAAGCTCCACCAAAGATGGTGGTTAAATGAAGATGTCTTACTCAGGCCGTTTACCATTGAATTTTTTTATTCTCAGTTCCGGTCTGCTTAAGGGGTGGCTCTCCCATAAGCACCAATGCGATAGCAGCTGGGTCTGGTCTGCTTAGTTAATTTACTGTATATGAACCACAAAAAATGAGGGTGTGGGATGTCTCGCTTCCTCTTCCGTCTCTGGCTCCACTTTAAGGGCAGAACTAATTTAATTGGTTGGATGACGGCTTTGGGCAGAGCTTAGAGTGACATGTCAGTGGAGTTTACATGTGAGAGTAAACAATTTTTTTAAAAGAAGGCCTTACGGGTGGTAGCCAAGAACTCAACTCCACGACTTACGATGGAGCTGAGTAGCGACGAGTGTGGGCGGACTGAACCTCTGACTACATCGAGTCGCTGTCAGTCGATACTTGTAAAAATGTCAGTTGTTTAATGCCCATCTTGTACCTATGTTTGTCCTGTGTAACTGATTTATTTTCTTTGGGTGCTGTAATCTGTAACTTTACGCGACCTCTGCCAAGGAAGTCGTTGTTTAATGGAGAAGAAGCAGCCCATCATTTCATGGCAGATTCTTTTGTTTTGGCAGGGGACGCATATAATGCAATTTTTTATAAAAAACTATGCATTCCAAATCCAACGGACAACTTTAACAATCAGGACAAGCACAGGTACACAGTAAACGTTAAATAATGTATATTTATAAAAGTATCGAGTGTTCGTGTACGCTTGAAGTTGTAACTTCCTACTCCATTGAAAAACACCCAAAGAACAGAACACAGTTACACAGAACAAACATGTACAAGGTAGGCTTTAATGAATGGACATTTTTGCCCTTGGATCTTCTCCTTCAAAGCGTTTTGAGGAGGCAAGAAGAACGGACGTGAGGAATCTAGGAAATACAATTGAGATTCGAATAGAAATCCCAGTCAAAGACTAACAAGCGTTGAAGGATGGTTTGGTGTGGAGATGAGAAATTTCAACCTGTTTGGGAGGGATGGAGTCACCAGGTGGTAAATTGGTTAATAGACCAATAAGAGAGTTCCAAACCTCTCTGCCAATAACAGCTACTTTTCTGTTTCCCCCTCCACACTCAGACCACTCCCAGACAGTCTTGGCAAAATTCTTGCTTAAGAAATTGCTCTTTGCTAAGAAGCTAATTTTGTTTTTTTTTACCATTTTAATTGAAAACAATCACAGTAAGGTACTTAATTGTTACCCAGAAATGATTTGATATTGATATAACAGCTGCATTGGACCTTTAAGGTCCATAGAGCTTGGAGAGACTTTGGCAGCTCCTGCTACTCCATAATGAGGCTACTCAGGCCAGGTGACCTGTAGAGCAGGGGATTATGGGCCGTGTAGTCTTTACCATGATGGCCATCTTAAGGCAAACACCCCCTGCGATGCCTAATGAGTGGCATGCAAGCCCGTAGGTGGAGAGGCTTGTCACATCACGTGTGTGTGTGGTATTGTAACAACATGAGACAGACAGTGGTTTAAGAAATAAAAATGGTACATTTAATACACATTTTGGAGTAGGTAACTCTTACCCCAGGTAGTGTTCTCCTTACAGTCACTAAATTAGCCCATGTCTGCTAAACATTTTTAGATTGCTAAGTAAGTTAGTCTAGCCAGCTGGGTCGTTCCAAAATAGTTCAGTTTCTGTCCCTTTGATATTTTAAGTAGAACTTGTGCACCAATATTGCATTTTTAAAGCCTGGTATATTAAATGAAGCACTCTTTAATATAGACCACATGGAGAATTAAATCAATCCGATTTTTAACATGATTAAAGAATTGCTAAAGTGCCAAAATTCAGCATTTTTACATGTCCATCCGTGCACCCTCTGTGAATTTTAACCCACTAAAACCCAACATTTCTCCATGTTTTTAGCATCATTGTAAAGCCCTGGTTATGTTGTTGCTTTGACAAAGTAATTTCTAAAGATTATGATTTATTTAATGTGATTCATTTACGTCGGTCCCTCATTTTAAGGTCAACCCTT